TTCGTGCGCGCAAGACGAAATCCTTCCAAAACCTTAGGTTTCGTAGCGATTTTAACATAAAAACATCAAAAACCCAATGGTTTTCTCAGAAAAAATTGTCAAAATGTCCTTCCGCGCGCTCTTGCGGATTCCTAGGAAACCCACCAGATTTTAAACATTTCTGTTAAAAGGGCCTTTGCGAGGAACCTTTTCAGGTGCTTCGACCTTCTGCAACAACGGTTGCGAGCCTACGAGGGCCACCATCCCTTGCAAAAAATGACACGAAGTGCACATGCGCGCGGCCGCCGCGCGCGCGTGCCGAAATCCTGCCAAACATAATGTGATTTCAATAATTTCAAGATGCGATGTTCCGAAAACATATGCAAACGCAAGACTTTCTCATCCGAAAAATATCAAAATCCACCCGCGGGCTCTTCATGAATCTTTAAAACCCAAGATGGCCCCAAGAGGCGCTCAAGATGGCCCCAAGAGGCGCCCATGAGGCCGCAAGAGGCGCCCAAGATGGTCCCAAGAGGCCCCAAGAGGACTCCAAGAGGCCCCCAAGAGGTTCCAAAGAGGCTCCAAGTTGGCTCCAAGAGGCCCCCAAGATGGCCCCAGGAGGCGTCCAAGCGGCTCCAAGAGTCCTCCGGGAGGATCCAATAAGCCCCCAAGAGGCCCCAACATGCTTTCAAGAAGCCCCCCAAAGCCTCTCAAGAGGACCCCATGCGGCGCCAGGAGGCTTCCCCCCTTCCCCAAGAGGACCCCCAGCGGCCCCAGGAGGCTTCCCCCCTTCCTCTCACGCTCATATCCGTAGCCATCTCGGATCAAGGTATCGCCTGTGTTCTTGGATCATGGCTTTGACGGCGAAAGACCTTCACGAGCAGTATGGCGCAGAGCTGTCCCGGCCTCCCTTGGCCGACTGCGAGAGTGCGTATTATTTGCATCAGGCGCTCGCGGCAAAGGGTATCAATGCCAGTCACCAGGCGTGCAAGACTTGGTGGGCCAAGTATCGGGTTGTGACTGGCAAGGTCAGTATTTCTAGCGCCAAGGAGCTGGAGGAGCAGCACGGGTCTGCCATCCGCCACCTGGGCATCGAGTATAATACCGCTTACAAATTATGCCGGGCGCTCCGACAGTTGGATCCACCACTGTATGTGCCAGATAGGGTCGCAACGGCGTGGCTACTGCAGTATTCATCCAAAGACACGCTTGTCCAAGTGCAGAACGCTGGCCATTTGGAGACCTGGTATGGAGAACGTATTCGCAAAGACATGCCCGAGGGGACCACTGACGGGGCCGTCTTGAAGCAGTGGCTCCTGGGACATTTATCTGTATCTGCTAACGCCAGGGTATGCCAGAAGTGGCTCAGCACGGAGTGGGGCGCCAAGGGGGCATTGAACACTGCCCAAGCTGTGGAGGAATGTATGGGCGAGCGTCTTCGACTCAATCAGTATCGGGAGAGCTTCGCCGACGAGGCCGCTGCGGAGGTCCTCTCGCAGCTTCTCTCGGAGAGCGATCCTCCCGTCGCTGTCAGCGGTATGGTTTTGAGGCAATGGTACGTGAAGTATCACCCTGACTCTGGACCTTTGCAGTATGACACGGCCGAAAAGCTCAACGCGGCACTTGGTGACCACATGCGCGCTGTATATCCAGGGCTGAAGTACCACACGTTGCATACCGTGTTGCGTATGCGACGGAAAGCTGTCTTGGTGTCCCGCTCAGTGTTGAGAAAGTGGTGCGATGTGTATGCGTCGGTGGGCGCTTCAGTGCAGGCGGCGGCTTCATCCGCCCAGGCCGTCACCAAGCGTGTATTGAAGCGCCCGGCGGCACAGGTCGCAGGCGGGGTATTGAAACGGCCAGCCGCCGCCGGAGCTGCCCGCGTGGCCAAACGGCCTGCCGCGGTCGACTGGGAGGAGCCCGTATCGAAGCAGCAGGCCACGGCAGCTTCTTCCTCCACAGATGTGGTTTGTATAAAGCTGCTGACGGGGGATGCTGTAGAGGCGGCATGCGGCAAGCGGTATCGAGAGGAGGTCTCCGACCTGGGCCTTGACCTCCATTACCGGAATATGCAGGTGCGTCTGAAGGCCTGGGGGTATGAGGCGGGTTATACTGCCTGTCAACAGTGGCTCGGCACGTATCGACTCGGAGACGCTGCCAAACATGGCAATTGCGCCGTCTACGCGTTGTCGCGCAGGGACCTCCAGTACTGGTATTACGTTGAAGGCTTGAGGGGGCGAGCGCTGGTGGACAAGTATCGCGCGAAGACCGGGGTATTTGCAGATCGTTCAAACCTGGAGAAGTGGCTGAAGGCGCCCTCCCAGCAGCTGGCACTGCTGGAGAATGCTCAGGACATACATCGCCACGTATGCGGGGAGTTTGTCCTGGAGCAGCTGCAGAAGGGCGTCTCGGCCGAGGAGGTGAAACAGCAGTTACTGGCGCAGTATCTCGTGGATTGCAGGACCACGCAGCGGCTCGTAGCGTATCGTCGCTATCGCGAGCAACGTGGCGAATACTGGACCAGCGACCACCTAGAGCAACAGGAGTAGGAGTTCTTGTATTCCTTGGTTTCTCTGGACAGCAAGCTCGGCCACAAATGGGCGGTTGGCTGTCGCGCCCGCGCCGGTGCGTATGTCACGAACCTTGTATACATGTGTTTCTCTCCCTCCGTCTGGCTGTGCACGCGCGCGTTGGGCACTGAGATTTAGGATCATAGCGCCATGAGTCTATGAGCAATGCATGCGTCATCCTTGGGACTGTATAACATCAGTGTAACACATGTACTTCTGTAATCGCATCCCCACGAATTTGCCCCAAAAATGTGACCAACTATCTTGGCACTGCGTACCATCTCACGTGTACCGTGTACCACATCATATGTAACAGATGTGATCAACCTCTGTGGGTGTGTACCCCACGCCAGTGTAGTAGCCAGGGTCGTCCGCACGCCACGAAGTGAAGTGTCCCAACGTCATAGGGCGGGAAGCTGGGTGTGGGTGGTCTCGAAGAGTCGTTTGGATATTTGGTAGAGCTTGAACGGCCCCCCCACGAAGTGGGGGTATTGGCTGGTGTCGCAAGAAAACCCTGGCACTGGGGAGAACACTGAGCGTTCGGGTAAAATGATTGTTGTTGTTGTTGTTGTTGTTGAACATTATTACTTCTAAAGAATAATTATTGTTGGGACCCCTGGTACACGACCCCCCTCCAAAACCTAGGCCGCAGCTACATTTTCATCATTTTTTCGCGAAAGCTTCAGAAAAGTGGATTAGTACCGGATCCGGTTGTTTTGTTCCCCCCCGTTTTCCCTTGCAAAAAACACTATAAAATGAAATTTCTTGTTCAAATGTAATCCAATTTCAAGAATCCCTTGCAAAAAATAAGCTAAAGTGGACATTCGCGCGTGCAAGACGAAATCCTTCCAAAACCTTAGGTTTCGTAACCATTTTAACATAAAAACATCAAAAACCCAATGGTTTTTTTTTAATAAAAAATTGTCAAAATGTCCTTCCGCGCGCTCTTGCGGATTCGTAGGAAAACCAACACTTTTTAAACAATTCTGTCAAACGGGCTTTTGCGAGCAACTTTTTCGAACTTCTGCGACAACGGTTGCGCACCTGCCAGGGCCATCATCCCTGTCAAATAATACCATGCGGGACAGATTCGTTTTTTCTTCGCGCGCGCACGCCGAAATCTACAAAAACCAGATGTGATCAACTATCTTGTGAGTACGTATCGTGTGTATCATGTGTATCATGTACCATATGCATCATATGCAACAGATGTTCTGTGGAAGGCTTAACAACTTCTGTGGGTTAACAAGGCTTAACAACTCTGTGGGTGTACGAACGTAGGCTTAACAACTTCTGTGGGTGTGTACTCCACGCCAGTGTAGTAGCCACGGTCGTCCGCAGGCCACGAGTGAAGTGTCCCAACGTCATAGGGCGGGAAGCTGGGTTTGGGTGGTCGCGAAGAGTCGTTTGGATATTTGGTAGAGCTTGTAATGCCCCCCCACGAAGTGGGGGTATTGGCTGGCGTCGCATGAAAACCCTGGCACTGGTGAGAACACTGAGCGTTCGGGTAAAATGATTGTTGTTGTTGTTGTTGTTGTTGTTGTTGTTGTTGTTTTGTGTGTGTGTTTCCCACGGACGTGTGTTTTTCCCACAGGGTCTGCGAGAGGGCCCCCGGAGGCCGAAGGTGGTCGCCACAGGCTACCCCCGCCGTGCTCTTGCTTCGCGGCTGGGCGCGGTCGGGGCTGGCGCCGGGGCGGGAGAGGCCTCCCAGAGGGGGGATCGGAGGACTGCGCGGCATTGCCACTGCATCGCCAGCGCATCGGCGACGTCGGCGACGCATCGGCGCCGTCAGTGTGGGGGAAACCCAGGCCGCCGACGCGATGATTTTTTTCCATGACGCGACCCACAGGGGTCCCGGACCCACTCCCAGGACCGGTCTCTTCGCCCCGCGTCGTTCCTTGACGGTCCCGAGGCCTGGGCAGGGCCCTCAGAAGCCGAGGATATAGCGAAAGACCTCCCGCCGTTTTTTTTTTTTTTTTTTTTTTTTTTTTTTTTTTTTTTTTTTTTTTTTTTTTTTTTTTTTTTTTTTCCACAGAGCCGATATATATATATATATATATATATATATAATATATATATATATATATATATATATATATATATATTATATGCACACAAAACGTAGGGAGGAGATGGAGAACCGCCGCGAAGCTCCACAGGCTGCCACAACGCGCCCGCTGCCTGTTGAAAGCGCCAGCCAGGACGAACAAATGCTGCCCACCGGGAAAAGACAGCCGCCAACAAGAGGAGCCACCTGCGACCAATTATGGCCCGGGCGAGCGGTCGTGATTTTTGCGGCAGCGCGAGGGGGTCTGGGGCGCCTGCGCAGCCGCCGGCCGCGTCAGCCAGAGGCCGGCCCGCGCCGGCGGCCGGCGCGCCGGCGCCTGGCGCCGCGGCGGAGGCGGGCGCCGCGGCGCCGCGCCGCGCGCGCAGCGCCGAGAGGCGCTCGCGCGCCTCCGCGAGGCTGGCGAGGCGCTCGGCCGTGGCCGCGGAGGTGCCCCCGGGCAGCCCGGCGTCCCGCTTGCGCTTCAGCTCCGCCAGCCTGCGCCGAGTCTCGACCAGGGCCTCCAGCTTCTCGCGCAGCGGCGTGCCCTCGGGCGCCCCTCTGGGGCACCCCCTGCCGTGTGAGACGATCCAGCGCCAGGTGAGGTTGATGCGCGGCTCGGAAACGGAGGCCTCCTTCGGGACGCAATGCTGATAGTGCTTCTGGCACAGGCCTTCCATGGTGCACAGGTCCCCGTCCCCGAGCAAGACTTCTGCACCAACCAAGCCGTCTCCTTCGGCGGCGTGGTCCTTTAGCCGGACACGGAATGTCCGCGTAGCCCCCAGTGAGAGGGACACTATGAGGGCGTCCTGCGCCGCTGCTTGAAACAGGGCCTCGTCGTCAGAATGCCAACCAACGCTCTCGTCTCCTGAGGCGTAGCGGTTTCCGTTGCAGCAGTTGGGCAGGTCGGGTATGCCGCAGGCCTGGCAGACGGCGCGGGTGAGCTGCAAGAACCACGGCTCCATCACTGCCGACGGCCATTCGTGCCCGGCGTAGCCGTAGCTGCAAGCGCAGCCGTCCTGCACGATCCACACGGCGGCGCGCGGGATTTGATGAACAGAAAAAACGGCATAAACATCAACTTTCGGAGGTCCGCGCGGATTTCTTGGATCTGCGCTGGACCTCCCTCCCTCGCGCGCGGAGCGCGCCAGGGGCGGCGCTGGAGTCGCCGCTAGGGGGGTGCAGCTCAAACCCAAGAAGTCATCGCGACAGTCGAAAGATTATGTCTCTTCCGTGCTTTCTTCTTCGATGGATGGGCTCGGCCTCGACCAGGGCAGCCTTGACGAACCAACAACACACACCCATACCCATAAGGGGGGTCGGAGAGGGCTATGGGTGCGTGTTGTCGAATGGGGGTGCCCGCTCGAACGGGAGCGCTCCCCAGGGTCCGACAACCCGCACCCACAGCCACAGCCAGTCCTCCTCCCAACGACCCCCCTATGGGTATGGGTGTGGACGCCCGAGTTATCCGGGGTAACTCGGGTCCGTGGTAACTCGGGTTTGGGTTCCCGAAAAACGAACCCGAGTTAACCCTGACCCGAGTTACCCCTGATGATTCGGGGCTCTGGACGCCCGAAATATCCGGGGTAACTCGGGTCCGGGATAACTCGGGTTTGGATTCCCGTAAGACGAACCCGAATGAGCCCTGACCCGAGTTACCCCTGATGATTTTGGGGCCCTGGACGCCCGAACTACCCGGGGTAACTCGGGTCCGGGGCAACTCGGGTTCGGAATCCCGAAAGACGAACCCGAATGAGCCCTGACCCGAGTTACCCCTGATGATTTGGGGCCCTGGACGCCCGAACTACCCGGGGTAACTCGGGTCCGGGGCAACTCGGGTTCGGAATCCCGAAAGACGAACCCGAGTTAGGCCCTGACCCGAGTTACCCCTGATGATTCGGGGCTCTGACCTATGGGTACGGCAGGTTCGCGTCGTGTCGACCCCGGCGTTGGTTTCTGACACCGCGGGGATCGTTCAACCTTGAACGATCGGCCGCTGCCGCAACGTCCGATCGCTCAACATCGATCGATTCTGGGTCGCCGGCGGCGTTCAACCTTGAACGCCCGCGCTGGGGTCGCCGCTGGTCGACACGACGCAAACCTACCGTATGGGTATGGGTGTGTGTTGTTCGCTCGGGCAGCCGGTTGTCGCAGAGCCACCGCCAGTCCCCCAGCTGCGCCTCGGCGAAGGCGCCACGGAGGTGCCCCACGAAGCTGCGGCGCGGGAGGCCGGCTACGCGCAGGAGTGGCCCTAGGCAAAAGTGACCTCCGAGGAGGAGGAGGAGGAGGAGGAGGAGGAGGAGGAGGAGGAGGAGGAGGGGTGCGCGGCCCCGGGGAGCCGCGGAAGGGCCAGCTCTGACCGCGCAGGCTGCTGCTGGGGGAACTCCTGTACAGTCGGGGCGCTGACCTAAGGAACCCCAAATAAGGAACGAGGCCCCTTTTTCCCAAGAGTTGAACTTCGACCTCCCATGGAACGCCTCCGTGAAACCTGGGGCAAACGGCACAGCAATCAAGGAACACCGAGCCCCTCCCCAACGAAAAAGGTTCCTTCTTCAGCTCCCCGACTGTAGGCTCGCGCCAAAGGTCGCTGTGGCGAAGGGCCACCCTTCCCTGAGATCCGACGTCTCGAACCACTTGCGACACCGCGAAAACTCACGGCCGGAGCTCTGGACACCCTTTTTCTGCGCCGCGTTTGGAGCCGCATCGATCTGTGAGGGCCCCGGGAGCCCAAGAAACGGAGCAAGGACGCCCGGCCCGAGAAAATGCTGGGGCGCCAGGATCTCAAGCTTACGTGTCGCCGAGGAAGTCGCAGAGCACTGGGCGCCAGCCCCCCCCGGCGAGCGCTATGGGCCCCTCGGCCCCTCCGCCCCGCAGCGGCGGGTCGGGCCGCTCCCGGCAGGCGGCGGCGCCTCCGCCCGAGCGGGCCTGTCGCTCCACAGCCTGCCTTTCGGTGCCGCCGTGCATTGCGCAGCGAGGTGGCTGAGCGAACCGAACCCGAACGTCTGCGGACAGGAAAGCCCGTTAGGGGAGTCGTGCGATGATCCCGATGATGCGGCTGCTGCTGATGATGGTGGTGATGATGATGAAGACGAATATGCTGATGCTTGTGGTGATGATGATGATGCTGCTGATGATGATGATGATGATGATGCTGATGATGATGATGCTGCTGATGATGTGGATGCTGATGCTGATGCTGATGCTGTTGTTGCTGACTATGATGCTCGTCATGATACTGCACATGCTGATGCTGATGGTTATGGTGATGCTGATGCGGATGATGGTGATGAATATGATGATGATTGCGATGGTGATGAACATGAGGATGGTGATGCTGACGGTGATGATGACATTGCTGACTCATTCGTTCATTCCCCTTCTGAGCTCCTTGGCCAGCACGAGTTCAAGACAGCGAGATTGCTCATAACCTGGAACTCGGGTCTGTGGGCTCTGGTGCCTCTCGGCCAATGAAAAGGCGTGTCTCAACTCGCCACGCGAACCAGACCGTAACTGCTGATGTGGCACACTACGGCGCTGCCCCCCCGAGCGCAGGCCCCCCCTATGCGGCCCAAACGCTCCAGGACAGGAAAAACTTCGAGGCCCTTGAAAACAGACTTGAGAGCGCCGCTCGCGCCACTGTGACATCAACTTCAGAGCCCACAGATTTCGAGAACCCCCCGAGTCCGAGACAACTTTGACCTCTGCGGTGGGAGATGTCGGAGGGGCATGGGGGAGAGCGAGAGCGCGAAAATGGGCACAGCCGCTTTGACGTCCGCGGGCGGCTTCGGTGCTGGCCGCGGCGGCGGCGCCGGTCCGCAGAGCTACTCTGGTTCCAGCGCCGCCGCCGCTGGCCAGCGAAGACTGCAGGGGGAAGGACTCCCTCCGAGTTCGCGCGGCAGCGGTAAGGAAAGGCCTCGCTCCTGATCATATCCTCGCTCCTGGCGCCTCACTTTCTTTAGGTCATCAAGCCGCTTGGGCCTCCTCCTCCTCCTCCGCCACCTCCTCCGCCAACTCCTCTTCCTCCTCCTCCTCCCCTCGCCCCACGCGGGCCCCGGGAATGGCCCGAAGATGCCCTCCAAGGCCACCCACTGCTCCCAAAGATCTCTCTGTTCATCCTGGTTGCCCGCTTTGTGTCACCATATGTGTCCCTTCGTCTCTCTCTTGTCCCATCAGCTCTCATGGGCAAGGTCTCTGAGCGGGCTGGTGGGGATACGCGAAGCGTGGAGAGCAAATGACTGGCCCTCCTTTCGTGTCCCTGCTGAGCACCTCGAGCCCTCGACGGTGCGGCGGGAGGACCGTGGCGGCACCGCGAGGCGGGGGAGGAGGAGCGAGCGAGGAGGCGGGAGAGCGAGGAGGCCCTCCTCGCTGTCCCTCCCTCCTCCTCCTCCTCCTCGTCCTCGTCCTCGTCCTCCTCCTCCTCCTCCCCTCCTCCTCCTCCTCCTCCTCCTCCTCCTCCTCCCCCTCCCTCCTCTCCTCCTCCTCCTCCTCCTCCTCCTCCTCCTCCTCCTCCAGCTCCCTCCTCCTCCTCCTCCTCCTCCTCCCCTCCTCCTCCTCCTCCTCCTCCTCCTCCCCCTTCTCCTCCTCCTCCTCCTCCTCCTCCTCCTCCTCCTCCTCCTCCTCCTCCTCCTCGGGAGCCTGGCCAGGGCATGGCCGTGGGAACGGCACGGGCCGCGGCGGCGGGCAAGCCGCGGGCGGCCCCGGCGATCGGCGCGGGCCCACCAGCAGAGAGCGGGGGGTGCCCGCGGCCCGGGGCGCCGCAGGCCCAGGAAGAGCCCTGCCCGTCGGTGCTCGGACGTCCGGCCCCCATGAACTCTTCGGCTTCGCGTTTCCCTCGCCGTCGCTCGGACGTCCATTTCCGGTGCATTTTTTCGGTTTCGGGCGTGTTGTTTTTTTGCTCGATGGTCCAGGATGGTCCTCGATGGTTGTCGCCGAGAAAAAGTGCACACGTCCGAGCGATGCCAAGTTCCCTCCTCAGGAGAAAAACAAGGGGGCGCCGTCCTTCCCCCTTCGCAGGAGGATCCGAGGCGCTCCTGGTCGGGGGGGAGGCCATGGGGGTGTGTGGCCTGCGTGGGGGGCGAAGCAGAGGGCCCGCAATGGGGGCCCTTCGGGGCCCCCTCTGGGGCCAGCGAGCGCCCCCAAAGCGCCCCTCTGGGGCCTCTTCCTGCGCGCCCCGTGTAGGCGCCACCCCCCGTTCCTACCCGCCTGACCTCGACTGACCTGGATAGGCGGCGCGCCCGGGGGGGAAGTGAGAAGGGGCGGGCCTCTTCTTCAGAAGGCGCGGAAGCCCCCCGGACTTCTGAGGAGTTCTCTGAGCCTTCCCCGAAGACGCAGGATACTCCTCTCAGAAGGCGCGAGGGTTTCTCAGAAGTCGCGCGCCTTCTGAGAAGGCCTTCTCCTTCTCATTTTCCCCCTCGCTCGCCGCCGAGAAGTGGCATCAACTCCTTCGAGGCCTCGAAGGCGAGCCTCTGTGGGGCCGCCAGTGGGCCCCCCGAGAGGGCTCCGCA